TATGCAAGTTGTATACTAAAAGCAGAGAGACTCAAAGTGCAGAGAAAAACTAATTTAAAGGAATTTGTAAATAATATTAGTCTATACATTTAACTAGGATGCTTTATATGTTGCGAAAAAATCCTTAATATATATAATAATAATTTTTAGAAAAAGCTTTATGCAGTTAATAATCATTCTGATTATTTTTCTTCTTGGTCCTAACTGTACTTTTGCAAAAAATAAATCCGAATCTAATCAAGTGAAGCTTAAGTATAGATGTACGTTATTAAGTGACATAAATAAGAAATCCTCACAAGGTCATTTAGCTCCGGCTTTTTACCACCATATAGGTGATATAGTTATTGACAGAAAAGGTGTTATACATTATTATGGAAATTGGAAAAATAAAAAATTGGATCTATCTACTAATCACAAAATAATCAATAGAATGGGTAGAACAGAAATTGATAACATGCATTCCGCCCTTACAATAGACAATGTATTGTACATGATTGATGAAAGAGGAGAGAATGAGGGAGTTGAAAATAGAGTCAAATGGAAAAGAGAATTGCAATCTCCAATCAAGGGAAGCCCAGCATGGTTAGAAGATAAGCTAGCAGTTCTCACTATTGATAACTATTTATATGTGTTGGATGTGGAGAGTGGTGATTTGGTTTGGTCCTATTACAATGGTACTAGTGAGGTGATAGGTTTGCATTCTGTATCACCTATAACTGCATATGGTATGATAATCACTCCATTTTCAAATGGAGAATTAATAGCTTTTGATGGCAGTGGCAAAAAGTTATGGTCTTATAAATTTTCCACCAATTTATTAAATACACAATTTACAGGGATTACAACTACCCCTGAATTTAGTGACAATGTATTAATAACTACAAATAGCTCCTCTATTGTTGCACTTGATATTAAATCAGGCAATCTTATATGGTCAAAGCCTATGCAAGTGAAAAATATAAATGGACATATTGTAGTTACCGCAAGTAATAACGTTATAAAGATAAATCCATCTAATGGTGAAGCAATATGGAGTACCAGGTTACCGATAAAAAATGGGAAACTAGTATATGGAAGTGGATATGGTAATTACTTTATTGTGAGTGATAAAGGTATGATGTTTCTATTGAATAGAGAATCTGGTATAATAGAAGAAACAGTTGCTATTCCAGAGGGTGTTTATCATCATATGACGTTTCATTCTCCTTCCGATAATTTAAGTGCATACTTT